CCTTAGGTGTACGTGGCTGGCGCCTTAGCCGGTTGAGCTATAGGCGCCAAGCCAACATTTTTATTCTTAAGAGATGCATGCTGGGGGGCAGTACCTGTGACTCTAAAGGGTATGGCACCGGCCCCATAGGCCGGAGGTGGTGGGTTCAAACCCAGCCCCGGCCCAAAAAAACTTAAAAAAGTCTTTAAAGAAATAATTTAAAAAAAAAAAAAAGAGATGTATGCTGTCTGAAACTTCAAAAATTCAGTCATAAAATATGTATTATACATAGATACATATATTCACATACACACACAAATTAAATATGGTAAAATGTTAATCATGTTTTAATCTAGATGAAATATAAATAGGTATTCATTACACTAATTTTTTCTTCCTTCAACTTTTCTAGATGTTTCAAAATTTTCCAAATTATAAAAAGTTGAGCAAAAAAAGACAAGAGCTGAGGCACTATCCATAGCTCAGTGGTTAGGGGACTGATTGCATGCTCCAGGGCTGGTGGGTTCAAACTGGCCCAGGCCTGATAAACAAACAAACAAACCAAAAAAAACAAAAAAAATAGACAGGTGTTATGACAGGTGCCTGTAGTCCCAGTTACTAGGGACGCTGAGGCAAGAGAATCACCTGATCCTAAGAGTTTGAGGTTGCTGTACTCTACCAAGGGTGACAAAGTGAAACTCGGTCTCAATAAAAAAAATAAAGAGAGAGAGAGAAAAGACCTGTTACAAAGTTGTCTAAAATAATTTAGAAAGACCACAATAAAATTAACAGAAACAAGCAACATGAGACTAGATGAAAAAATATGTTTGTTTGTTTTTGTCGAGACAGAGTTCTACCCTATCCCCTGAACAGAGTGCAATGGCGTTATAGCTCACTGAAACCTCAGACTTGGGCTGTAGGCATCCTGCTGCTTCAGCCTCCAAAGCTGCTGGGATTATAGGTACTCACCACAATGCCCAGCTGGGTTTTTCCATGTTTTTCATGAGTCGTGGGTCTCACTCTCACTCAGACAAGCCTTGAACTCCTGAGCTCAAGCAATCCTCCCACCTCAGCCTCCCACAGTGCTGGGATTACAGGTGTGAGCCACCACAATCAGTTGAAAATATATTTTTTGAATGTCAAAAAAGGTGTTTTCTACCAATTCCCATAAAAGCCACCATATGTTGATTTTTCAGGGTATCTTAAAGATCTGAGAACTTCTGGGGGAGGTTGCTATAAAGTTTTTTTCTCTCCTACTCAAATTTTATTTGTCCTTAACAATCTGGAATTTGAGTTAGTACACAGGCTTTTCATGCCTGTAGCTTGATTATGCAATGGTAAAAAATACATCTGAGCTTTACCTTGAATCTTCACAGAGGTCAAGAACATTAGGGACAGGCACGTCAGCATTTGCAAGGGCTTTCATAATCCTGCCAGAAAAAAATTAAAATAAGCATAACTGCTGGCCAAACTGATGAAATTTTCTTGAAATTACTTTTCTGATTTAAAAATTAGTACAGGCATATATTAGATTGGAATTCTAATATTCAATTGAGTCAAAAGTAGATAAGAACAAAAAACAGATGGGATAAACAAAAAACAAATGATGAAGTTGCAAACTTAAATGAAACATACCAAAAATATGACCTGCCTATATGATGTCTATAAGAGATATGCTTTAAATATAAAAACATCAGTTGAAAATGGAAGGCTAGAAAGGGAAGTATCATGTAATTGGTAAGCATAAGGAAGTTGGTGTGGCTACTTCAATATCAGATAAAGAGGCCTTTACAGTAGAGAATAAGAGACAAGACAGTTCAAAATGATAAAGTACTTGATTATCAGAAAGATCTTACAATCATAAATACATATTGCTTAACAAGAGAGCTTAGAAATATATGAATGAAGTATAAATGATTCAAACTAAAAAGAAAAATGGACAAATCCACAATTATATTAATAGTTGAGATTTTAAAGCCAGGCACAGCGGCTCATGCCTGTAATCCCAATACTTTGGGAAGCTGAGACAGGTGGATTGCCAGAGCTCACAGGTTTGAGACTAGCCTGAGCAAGAAGAGCAAGACTCTGTCTCTAAAAATAGCTGGGCGTTGTGGTGGGTGCCTGTAGTTCCAGCTACTTGGGAGGCTGAGACAAGAGAATCTCTCAAGCCCAGGAATTTGAGGTTGCTGTGAGCTGTGACGCCATAGTACTTTACTGAGGGTAACATAGTAAGACTATTTCTCAAAAAAAATTAAAATAAATAAATAAATAATAAAAAATTTAAAAAATAAATAATAAATTTTGCAGAGTATTTCTCAGACCTCAATGGAATTAAACTAGATTAATATATGATATCTGGGAAAAAACCAATTATTTGAAAACAAACCAACACACTCTATAGAACCCCTGGGTTAATGAAGAAATCAAAAGAGAAATTAGAAAATATTTCAAATAATAATATAAAATTTGTAGGACACAGTTAAGCAGTGCTTTGAAAGAAAGTTGTAATTTTAAGTGTTTGTGTTAGATATCTTTCCACACTATAATAGTTGGAGATTTTAACACCCCATTAGCAGAACTGGACAGATCTTCCAAGAGAAACTAAACAAAGAAATAATGAACTTGAACAAGACCCCAGAACAAATGGACTTAAAAAACATATAGAACACTTTTGAACACCTATAGAACACTTTTATCCTAACAAAACCAAATACATATTCTTCTCATCATCCCACAGATCATTTTCCAAAATTGATCATATCATAGGTCACAAGGCTAATTTCAACAAATTCAGAGGAATAGAAATTATCCCCTGTATCTTCTCAAGACCATCATGGAATGCAAGTTGAACTCAACAGCAACAGAAATCTTCATTCTCAGATAAAATCACGGAAACTAAACAACCTTATGCTAAACGATGGCTGGGTCATAGATGAGATCAAGAAGGAGATTGTTAGATTTCTGGAACAAAATGATAATGAAGACACAAACTATCAAACCTGTCAGATACTGCAAAGACAGTGCTTAGAGAAAAATTTATAGCATTAGATGCCTTCATCAAGAAAAGAGAAAGAGAGGCTCGGCACCTATAGCTCAACTGCCTAAGGCGCCAGCCATGTACACCTAAGGTGGCGGGTTCGAATCCCCAGCCCGGACCTGCCAAAACAACAATGACTGCTGCAACCAAAAAATAGCCGGGCGTTGTGGCTACTTGGGAGGCTGAGGCAGGAGACTCGCTTGAGCCCAGGAGTTGGAGGTTGTTGTGAGCTGTAATGCCATGGCACTCTACCCAGGGAGATAGCTTGAGGCTCTGTCTCAAAAAAAAAAAAAAAAAAGAAAAGAAAAGAGAAAGAGGCTTGGCACCTGTGGTTCAAGTGGCTAAGGCGCCAGCCACATACACCTGAGCTGGCGGGTTCAAATACAGCCCAGGCCCACCAAACAACAATGACAGCTGCAACCAAAAAATAGCTGGGCATTGTGGTGGGCGCCTGTAGTCCCAGCTACTTGGGAGGCGGAGGTAGAAGAATTGCTTGTACCCAGGAGTTAGAGGTTGCTGTGAGCTGTGATGCCAGGGCACTCTACCCAGGGTGACAGCTTGAGGCTCAAAATAAATAAATAAATAAATAAATAAATAAAAAAGAAAAGAGAAAGAGAGCAATTCAGCAACCTAATAGGCCATCTCAAGCAACTGGAAAAGGAAGAAAAATCTAATCCCAAACCCAGCAGAAGAAAAGAAATAACCAAAATTAGAGCAGAACTAAATGAAATTGAAAACAAAAGAATTATTCAGGCTCAGCGCCTGTGGCTCAAGTGGCTAAGGCGCCAGCCACATACACCTAAGGTGGCAGGTTTGAATCCAGCCTGGGCCTGCTAAACAATGATGGCTGCAACCAAAAAACAGCCGGGCATTGTGGCAGATGCCTGTGGTCCTAGCTAATTGGGAGGCGGAGGCAGGAGACTTGCTGGAGCTCAGCAGTTGGAGGTTGCTGTGAACTGTGATGCCACAACACTCTACCCAGGGGGACAGCTTGAGGCTCTATCTCAAAAAAAAGAAAAACTTATTCAGAAGATCAGCAAAGATCTTTATTAATCTTGAAAAGATTAATAAAATTGATAAACTCTTGGCTAGACTAACCAGAAAGAGAAAAACAAGATCTCTAATAATTAGGCAGCGCCTGTGGCTCAAAGGAGTAAGGCTCCTGCCCCATCTGCTGGAGGTGGTGGGTTCAAACCCAGCCCCGGCCAAAAACTGCAAAAAAAAAAAAAAAAAAAAAAAAAAAGATTTCTAATAACAAATACAATCAGAAATGATAAAGGGGAAATAACAACAGATGCCACAGAAATATAAAACATTCTCAACAATTACTACAAAAAACTCTATTCCCAGAAATAACAAAATGTAGAGGCAATGAACTGATATCTAGAAGTATGATACCTTCCCAAACTCAACCAGAAAGATTTAGAAATCTTGAATAGACTAATACCAAGTATTGAAATAGCATCAATTATATAATCTCCCAAAAAAGAAAACCCCTGGACCAGATGTTTTCACACCAGAATTCTATCAAACCTTCAAAAAGAAACTAGTTCCTATACTGTATAAACTTTTCCAAAATATAGAGAAAGAAGAAATCCTCCCCAGTGCATTTTTTTTTTTTGAGACAGAGCCTCAAAAAAAAGAGCCTGGGTAGAGTACTGTGGCATCACAGCTCACAGCAACCTCCAACTCCTGGGCTCAAGAGAGTCTCCTGCCTCAGCCTCCCAAGTAGCTAGGACCACAGGTGCCCACCACAACGCCCGGCTATTTTTTGGTTGCAGCTGTCATTGTTGTTTGGTGGGCTGGGCTGGACTTGAACCCACCACCTTAGGTGTATGTGGCTGGTGCCTTAGCCACTTGAGCCACAGACGCCGAGTCCCCAATGCATTCTATTAAGCAAATATCACCCTGATCACCAAACCAGGAATGGACCCAACAAAAAAATAAAACTATAGACCAATATCTTTAATGAATATTGATGCAAAAATATTCAACAAGATTTTAGCAAACAGAATACAGCAACACATTAAAAAGATTATATACCATGATCAAATGGGTTTTATCCCAGAGACATAAGGTTGGTTTAACATACGCAAATCTATAAATATAATACACCATACAAATAGAATAAAAAACAAAGACCATGTGATTCTTTTAATTGATGCAGAAAAGGCTTTTGACAATATCCAGCATCTTTTCATGATAAAAATGCTCAAGAAAATAGGCTTTAGAAGGAACATTCCTTAAGCTGATAGAAAATATCTACAACAAACCCACAGCCAATATCATATTGAATGGAGTAAAACTGAAAGCATTAAAAAAAAAAAAATGAAAGCATTCCCACTCAAATCTGAAACTAGACAAGGATGCCTACTGTCTCCACTGCTATTTAACATAGTATTGGAAGTGCTAGCCATAGCAATCAGGCAAGAGAAGGAGATCAAAGGAATCCAAAAGGGGACAGAGGAGGTCAAACTCTCCCTCTTCACAGATAACATGATCTTATACCTGGAAAACCCCAGAGACTCAAATACAAAGCTCTTAGAAGTCATCAAGGAATATAGCAGCATCTCAGGTTACAAAATCAATACCCACAAATCAGTAGCCTTTGTATACACCAACAATTGTCAAGCCAAGAACAAAATCAAAGACTATTCCTTTTACAATAGCACCAAAGAGGATGAAATACCTGGGAATATATCTAACAAAAGTTGTGAAAGATCTCTATAAAGAGAATTATGAAACTTTGAGAAAGGAAATAGCACAAGATGTCAACAAATAGAAGAACATACTACGTTCATGGCTAGGAAGAATCAACATCGTTAAAATGTCCATACTACCCAAAGTAATCTATAGATTTAATGCAATCCCCATCAAAGCACCAATGTCATACTTTAAAGATCTTGAAAAAATAGTACTTTGATTCATACAGAACCAGAAAAAACTCCTAATAACAAATGTAGTCTTTAAAAATAAAAACAATTCTGGAGGTATCACGTTGCCAGACTTCAGGTTATATTACAAGGCTATAGTGATCAAAACAGCATGGTACTGACACAAAAACAGAGACACAGATCTATGAAATAGGATAGAGAATCTAGAGATGAACCCAGCCACATATCATCATTTAATCTTTGATAAGCCTAACAAAAACTTGCAATGGGGAAAAGAATTCTTATTTAACAAATGGTGCTGGGAGAACTGGTTATCCACATGTAGAAGACTGAAACTGGACCTGCACCTCTCACCATTGACAAAAATCAATTCTTGCTGGATAAAAGATTTAAATTTAAGACACGAAACAATAAAAATTCTACAAGAGAATGTGGGAAAAACACTTTAAGATATTGGCCTAGGAATAAACTTTATGAGGAAAACTCCCCGAGTAATTGCAGCAACACCAAAAATAAGTAACTGGGACCTGATCAAGTTAAAAAGCTTTTGCACAGTGAAGAGTACCACAAACAGAGCAAACAGCCCTCAGAATGGGAGAAGATTTTTGCATGTTATGAATCTGACAAAGGCCCGATAACTAGAATCTACAGAATTCCAATTAAACAATAAGAAAAGTGCAAACAAGTGGGTAAGAGATTTGAACAGAAAATTCTCCAAGGATGACAGATGAATGGCCTACAAACACATGAAAAAACGCTCATCATCCTTAATCATCAGAGAAATGCAAATCAAACCACTCTAAGATATCACCTAACCCCAATAAGATTAGCCCACATCACAAAGTCCCAAAACACCAGATGCTGGCAGGATGTGGAGAGAAGGGAACACTGCTACACTGCTAGTGGGGTTGTAAACTAATACAGCCCTTTTGGAGAGAAATATACAGAATCCTCAAAGATCTAAACGTATACCTTCCATTTGACCCTGCAATCCCATTATTAGGTATCTACCCAGAAGAACAAAAATCATTTTATAACAAAGACATCTGCATTAGAATGTTTACTGTGGCTCAATTGCCAAGTCGTGGAAGCAAACTAAGTGACTGTCAACCCATGAATGGATCAACAATCTGTGGTATATGTGTACCATGGAGAATTATTCAGCCATTAAAAAAGATGGAGACTTTACATCTTTTACATTTACCTGGATGGAACTGAAATACATTATTCTTAGTAAAGTATCACAAGAATGGAAAAATAAATATGCATTGTATTCCATACTAATATGAAATCAGTATTTAAATAATTACATGTTCCTAAAAACAATAAAACACTATTATAGTCCAGTTTAGGGGTAGAGGGAAGCAGGCAGGGGGAGGGGGAAGGACATATGGCAGAAGGAGGGAGGGCATGAGGCGAGATCTCATTTATTGTGTACATTGTAAGGGTGTATAACATGCCCCCTGGGTGAGGGGCTCTTCTACAAATGGAACATTATCCTGGAAGTGAGAACAGTATAACCTAAATATTGTACCCTCATATTAATTTGAATAAAGTTTTTTTAAAAAGACCTATTATCTTACTTCACCAGTTAGACTATCAATTTGAAAATAGGTATCATATATCATGTCTCAAAGTACTTATCAACTGTCTTGCACATGATGGGGACATTAACTTTTAATTACTAGATTATTAATTAATAAGACAGTGCATATTGTTATAAGCCATAGAAGACACACTTGTGACATCCCTAAGAGCCATTCTCTATTTCTCTGGTTAATAGAAATTACATTTCATACAGGTATTAGGCATCTGGGCTTCAAAGGGCCTGCCTTAACCCTAGGATGAATAGTCAGTAATCTAAATCAATGGTTTTCAACTCTAACTACTTGAATGCCTCTACTTAGGAGTTAATATAATGCTGCAACTGGGAGGAACAGTTTGAGATCAATTTGCTATCCAGTATGTCTATTAGTTGTGCCAGAGTTTAGCTGTTTAAATATAACAGAACATAATGAAATTTTCATATGTACATTTATATTTTGAATTGTTATAAATACAAAACTAATACAAATATAAAAAAAAAAGTTTGTGTTAGAAAAGAAAGATTTTAAATCACTGACTTAAGGTTATACCTTAAGAAGGTAAAAATAAACCTAGAGTCAGTAGATAAAAGGACATAAAGTTAACAGCAGAAATAAAATAAAATAAAAAATTAACAAAACCATTGTTAACCAAAGAATCAAGAACATTGATTCTTTGACAAGATCAATACAATTGATACATCCCTAGCTAGAATGAAGAGAAAGAGATGGGGAAAGAGAGAGGAAATACAAATTGTCAATCAATACCAGGAGTGATAAAGAGGGGATATTACTACAGCACCTACATACATTTAAAGACAGGCCAAGTATGGTGGGTCATGCCTGTAATCCCAGCATTTGGGGAGGATGAGCTGGCAGGATCATTTAAGGAAGGAATTTGAGACCAGCCTAAGCAAGGGTGAGACCCTATCTCTTCACAAAAAAATAGAAAGATTATCTGGGCATGGTGGTACACACTGATAATGCTAGCTACTCAAAAGGATCACTTTAGCCCATAGGTTGAGGTTGTAGTCAGCTATGATGATACCACTGTGTTCTAGCCTGGGCAGCAAAGCAAAACCCTATCTCAAAAAAAAAAAAAAAAAAAAAAAAAAAAAAAAGAAAGAAAGAAAGAAAAGAAAAGAGAAAAAAAAAAGAAGGTGACATTATGAACAATTTATGGACAATGAATTCAACAGCTTAGGTGAAATGGAAAAAATGCCTTATAAATTACAACTTATCAAAGCTAAAACAAGAAGAAATATCTGAGTAACCCTATATTTATTAAACTGAATTCATAATAAAAAACCTTCTCCTAAAGAAAATTCCTGGGCTCTGCGCCTGTGGCTCAAGCGGCTAAGGCGCCAGCCACATACACCTAAGGTGGTGGGTTCGAATCCCCAGCCCGGGCCGCCAAACAACAATGGTGGCTGCAACCAAAAAATGGCCGGGCGTTGTGGCGGGCGCCTGTAGTCCCAGCTACTTGGGAGGCTGAGGCAGGAGACTCGCTTGAGCCCAGGAGTTGGAGGTTGCTGTGAGCGTGATGCCATGGCACTCTACCCAGGGGGATAGCTTGAGGCTCCGTTTCAAAAAAAAAATAATAATAAAATAAAATAAAAAAAAGAAAATTCCTGGAACAGACGGTTTTACTGGTAAAATCTACAAAACATTTAAAGAAGAAAATGTTTTCTTGTCCTTTTTCTTTGTTTGTTTTTTTAGAGACAGGCACTCACTATGTCAGGATCATAGCTCACTGCAGCTTCGAACTCCCAGGCTCAAGTTGATCTTTCTACCTCAGCCTCCTGAATAGCTGACTCTACCAGCAGATGGTACCAACCACACCTGGCTAATTTTTTCTATTTTTTATAGAGATTGGGGAAGTTTTGCTATGTTGCCCAGGCTGGTCTCAAACTCTTGGCCTCAAACAATCCTTTCCCCTCGCCTTCTGGAATTATAGGCATGAGCCACTGCTTCCAGCCACATTTGGCATTTTACAAGCAGGTACTGTATTATATTTTATCTTCAGATGAACATTTCATTTTTCACTATAATAGAAATTCTGTGCATTCCTGGATTTTTGTAACTATCGTTCTACACACTCCAGAATTCCTTAGTACCTCTGGGAATGGTTAGAGAGAAATCCCAACCAGGATTTTAGAATCTCTCTTGCCACAAGTACAGATCTGCTCTTACATAGGCACATAGATTAAGTGCTCGGAAAGAGCTGTAGGTTTTCTCCTTTGAGTAAGAACCCCCAAGGGTTCACAATCAGCTGGAGTCCCTGCAACACCTAGAGAAAAGTCAGAATCTAAGAACCAAAGAGTCAAGAGGAGAAGTAATAAACAACGAGAACAAGGAGGGGCCCAGAACTGAAAGCACATTGTCCTTATTCCTCTCTGCAACTCTCCTTCTGTAGAGTGCAAGAGGCTGGGAGTAAGAAGAGGAAGGGTAGGGCGGTGCCGGTGGGTCAAAGGAGTAGGGTGCTAGCCCCATATACTGGAGGTGGCAGGTTCAAACCCAGCCCTGGCCAAAAACTGCAAAAAAAAAAAAGAAGAAGAAGAGGAGGGCAAATCCCACAAGAATGAGCCCCTTTCTAGAGCTCACTCTTCACAGAATTTGGAGCGAGATTTTTTCCTACCTTCTACATCTAAATTTTCCTATTTGCAAAACAAACTATTTTACTGGGGATAGGTTGCAATACATTTATTCTTTTAAACATTCTAGTATAGAAAATTTCAAACACATATAAAGGCAGAGAGCTTCATATGGTGAACCCCCATATACCTGTCAAATAGCTTCAATGACTATCCACTCTTGGCTACCTGGAGCCCCCCAATATACCGATTTTCAGACTAAAGGTCTTAAAGACTTTAATCTTTTTTTTTTTTTTTTTTTGAGACAGAGCCTCAAGCTGTCCCCCTGGGTAGAGTACCATGGCTTCACTGCTCACAGCAACCTCCAACTCCTGGGCTCAAGCGAGTCTCCTGCCTCAGCCTCCCAAGTAGCTGGGACCACAGGCACCCACCACAATGCTCGGCTATTTTTTGGTTGCAGCCATTATTGTTGCTTGGCGGGCCCGGGCTGGATTCGAACCCACCACCTTAGGTGTATGTGGCTGGTGCCTTAGCCGCTTGAGCCACAGGCGCCGAGCCAAAGACTTTAATCTTTACCGGAAAAGTTTTTGAGAAAGGAAAGACTAAAGAGAATCTCAATAATGCCTTTTTTATCATCTAGAAGTTAAAAAAAAAAAAAATCTAGTCTTCTGCAGGTTTAGAAATAGGAAAGAGAAAACAAACTTCTAAATGAAATTAGGTTACATGTTCTTATTCAAAATAACTAAGAGATTTCTAACTGCAGTTATAAGTGTCTTAGGCCACTTCTGCAGAGTGCTGACTTGTTAGCTCAGGGGCTAAGCTTGTGCCACATGGAGACCAGGAGGGCAAGTGTCCCCTGGGCCCTGAGAACTTACCTGAACTCCCTCTCCACTGCGTGGGCAGATGGAAGGAGTGCTCCTGGAGGTTTCTTCCTCAGAACCAGCTGATGGTCGGCCAGCCTGAGGTAGTAAGTTGGATTAGACTGCCCGTGATCAAACTGAAGGACTTGCAATGGGCCTGTAAGTTTGAAAACAAAGTTAAGACTTAAATCTGAACACTAGATAACAGATCTGCAGAGATATTCTTTCTAATAAGTTCTGCAGTTGGGATGCAAAATACCCTCATCTGGTATACAGAGCAAGGAAATTCTCTCCTACCTGGCTACCAGGAGTGACTGAATCCCAGACCCAGTTTGAGTCCAGAATCACATGTCATTACAGTTTGGCAAAGGCCACTCACTTCACACCATGATAATTTTCTTACTTTGTATGGGTGTCCAATTTTATCCTTCTTGCCAACTCCTGCTTCATGACCAAAAACATTTTCATTCTGTTTATCAACCACAAGCATAGTCATGGCAACCCATCTTGCCAAACGGAATGTTTTAAGCCTAAGGATGAAAAGTGCTCTTGTGTATCCCGCAGCCTGACACTGACATGATAGCTAAAAGGAACTATGCAGAAGCATTGGGCTTGAGCCAAAGCTTCTTCTGTCAGATATAATTTCCTACTCCACCAGGCTGAGTTCTTTGGCTACCTGGCAGGTACCAGGCTGAGATGAACTCACTAACCTTCAGCTCCATAAGATATAGACCAAATTCTTCACTGGTAGAAATGAATTCATTTCATTTGGCCAAAAGAACAAGAAAGCATAATAGGGTGTTGTGGCAGGTACCTATAGTCCCAGCTACTTGGGAGGCTGAGGCAAGAGAATTGCTTTAGCCCAAAAGTTTGAGGTTGCTGTGAGCTGTGATGCCAGGGCACTCTACCAACAGTTTCACCATAGTGAAACTCCGTCTCAAAAAAAAAAAAAAAAGCAAAGGGAGCATACCTGAGTCTGTCAGCCCCTCAGCTTTGTAGAGGCACTATCAAGAATCTGGTTGTCAGAAAACATCATAACGTGCAACTCCATCAATAAAAGCCTTTTTTAAGGATCAAGTGGATAAGGCAAAACTTTTCTTCAAAAGCTAACAAGGGACCTGCTTTTCTGAGGGTAGAATGTTAAGAATGAAATAGGGAACTTCTCTCCAAGAAATGCAGACAACTTGTTGTATTTTAAAATCATGCAACTTTTGGGGAGGCGCCTGTGGCTCAGTGAGTAGGGCGCCAGCCCCATATACCGAGGGTGGCGGGTTCAAACCCAGCCCCAGCCAAACTGCAACAAAAAATAGCCGGGTGTTGGGGCGGGCGCCTATAGTCCCTGCTACTTGGGAGGCTGAGGCAGAAGAATTGCCTAAGCCCAGGAGTTGGAGGTTGCTGTGAGCTGTGACTCCTTTGCACTCTACTGAGGGCAGAAAAGTAAGACTCTATCTCTACAAAAAAAAAAAAAAAATCATGCAATTTTTAAGTCACTTTCGCAAAACAGACTGTCCTCTCAGAAATTCAGAAACTCAGGCGGCACCTGTGGCTCAAAGGAGTAGGACACTGGCCCCATATACAGGAGGTGGCGGGTTCAGACCCAGCCCCTGAGGAAAAACTGCAAAAAAAAAAATTTAGAAACTCTCAAATGCCCCTGGGTACACAATGTAGTCCCCAAGTTCTTCATCTACAGGTGACTACTGCCCAACCACACTCTTGGTGGAGGAGAGGTATAAGTATACTTTGGGGGATCTGTGAAAAAGAAAGCTAATGTTTTTCCCAAGCAAAATTAAAAATAGCACTCAGATCCACCAGGCCGGATGGCTATTTTCCTCACCACATTGCTTCTCTGTCTCTATTAGAGCTTGAAAGTGAAAATCAGACTAAAAGCATAGCTTTGGAGAAAGAGTTTCTAAAATACAAAAATGTACATACCTGTGGTTTGGATCCCCAGTAAGTCTTTGAGGTACTTCTCTAAGGAATCTTTTGGTATTTCCATTGTCTTTCTCACAGGACGTGTGTTTGGAATATTCACTCTCAATGTAAAACCCAAAAGAGTTTCTAATTCCTGTACTGCAGTCTCGGGATCATCAACCTGGTTTTGGAGAGAATATTGAACATGCACCACCTGCTGATCCTGAGCTCTCTTCTTGTCTGTTCTTTACAAGGGTAGTTCTTTAAAGGGAAATTATTAGAGGTCAGTTCTCTGAGGAAGGCTTTTGAAGCCAGGACAGTCAGCTAATGAGAAAGCAACAGAATGAGTTTCCTCTTCCCAGTTAACTCCTACCCACAATGAACTTTCTATCTGCAGGAAAGAGCATCAGTCAAGAGTTCACAACTCATTGCCCCCAATAGTGGGGCATGATAGCTTGTGCCTATAGTCCCAACTACTAGAGGTGGAGGCAAGAGGATCACCTGAGCCCAGGAGTTCAAGACCAGCCTGGGCAACATAGTGAGATCCTGTCCTTAAAAAAATACTCTCTTTTGGCTCGGTGCCTGTGGCTCAAGTGACTAAGGCACCAGCCACATACACCTGAGCTGGCGGGTTCAAATCCAGCCTGGGCCTGCCAAACAACAGTGACGGTTGTACCAAAAAAGTAGCCGAGCATTGTGGCAGGCACCTGTAGTCCCAGCAACTTGGGAGGTGGAGGCAGAAGAATTGCTTGAGCCCAGGAGTTTGAGGTTGCTGTGAGCTGTGATGCCATAGCACTGTACCCAGGGTGACAGCTTGAGGCTCTGTTTCAAAAAAAAAAAAAATACTGTCTTCTGCCAGGATTGTCTTCTGCATAAGAAGATTGTGCTGCAGCATTTGCTCTGTCCCACAGGCCCATTAACCTAAT